CTGCTTACGCTCGCTGCTGAAGATCAGATGGCCAGAAAAAATAAGCGACAAGGAACTCTGGGAACGAACCAACCAAGAACCTATCACGCAGCAAATATGCAGGAGGAAGTGGAGATGGATTGGCCATGCACTGAGAAGGCCGACGGAGGACATTACGCGTCAGGCCAGTTGCTCGAGTGGAATCCCCATGGGAAGCGACGAGTTGGACGTCCGAGGGTGACATGGAGGAGGTCGTGCGAGGAGGAAATGAGAGCTTGTGGGTTGTCGTGGGACCAGGTTCAAAAGATCTCAGAGAACAGAAGTCACTGGAGGCGTGCTACTGAAGCCCTATGTTCCACTAGGAACCCAAAGGACTAATAATAATAATAATATAAGCCGCCAGTCTCCTTACTAGGAAAACAACAATGCCAGAGTATGAGAACATACACTGTGTTTTATTTCAGACTATGGATGGCCATACGTTAGAAATGGCACAGGTAATATGGTTGTGTTGTTGATATACTTATCTACTAAGCTGCGTTTAGAAATTTCAACGACTGTAGATGGAGATTGGTAAGCTCTTCGTAAACTTAATCGCTAGCAGTTGTGCTCATAACTTCTGATCCATACTGGTGTATATAACATACGAAATTCGTTACCAGCACTAGCGGTTCTTCATTCTAGCTCAGCTTCTCACTTCTAATCCATGCTTGACTTGGGCTCCATCCACTACATTGTCGAAATTCATCACTAGCGGCCCCTGCAGGGTCACCTATGCATCGTTATCTTTCACATGCTCTGACTCTCCATGTGCTACTTTCTAGGCCAAATTATCCAGGTTTCTCAGAAGTATGATGATCACTACCATCTTCTTGTGGAACTTCTTAATCACCAACTAGGCATCTACCTTGAAGTCGTTTGAGTGCGTCCAAATATTTCCAACTTTTTTAACTCTCCCGGTCAAAGTATCTCCCTTCCCCTGTCATATACGCAGTGATACCAATATATCAAAGTTCAACAGAGCAGCAAAGATAAGTTGTTGGTAAATTACAATCGGTAATGATTAAAATCCTAAGCCTTACAATCAAGTCACATTTGAAAATAGTATCTGTTCGACGTCCCAGTGTGTATTGTTTTTATCCTTCATTTTTCTACACAATATTATATCTTATTTCTTTCTGAATATTCACCAATCAATTGTTATCACTTCTTGTGTTTCCTGACTCTGTACCATGTACTACTTATCTACATTCTTGTAAGTAGCTTCAACCGCTCACTGTTATCAAATAAACAAGATTTTAAGCTGGTTTCTAATGCTGGCATTTTAGTATAACCGATTAGATCGATTAGTGCTTTTCATGTTGCATATACAAAGTGTTTCGTTTCACTTGTTTATTCTGTCTCTATGGTTATGAGTAATGAACCAGTATTTGAAAAATAGGTATTTCAAACTCAAATTATCGTTTATTTCTTTATATGGAAAACTTTATTATGGATTTTCCAGATTTGGATACCACAGTGACCGGAAATCGATGGAATTAGAAACAACTGTTGACTAGATGACTTATATTTGTGTATAAAAAATGCTTATACAATTTTGCTAGGATTTTAAGCCCATCGGTTGCTATAAGGGAAGTCAAATAATTTAGTTGTACTGGGGACTTCCTTGCGAGCCTTTTACAAATGATACTATTGAAAATCATTTCCAGTTCCCAACAAATCGAGTCACTAGTACTTCTACGAAAGAATATTTAATAAACTAGCGATTCAGTCTTCGCTAACTATTCGTCGAAAAAACTCAACCTCTCTTCCTACAACAAGAGGTGTCTTGACGGAACTGCAATGGTCCTCTAAACCAGGGAAGAGTCGATATGACACATTCCTTTTCTCTTGATTAACAGCTCATTGATGTCTTTCCTCGATGAGCGTGGGGACATCAGTTAAGTTTGTACAACCTCAGTCCTTTTCGTGAATAGTGTTAGTGATTGACAGAGTTTCAGCACAACATAGTTCACTAACTGCGTACCTTATATATATATATATATATATATATATATATATATATATATATATATATATATATATATATATATATATATATATATATATGGTTGCATTGTAGTCTCTGAGCTGGGTTGTTTAGTTGTGGAGCTTTCATCGTCTTTCTAGACGACATCTTCAGCACTAACTTCAATATGAAGTGACCTGTCAATATCTCTCCATGAGTGATTTAGTAGCTTTCGCTGACGAACTGGTTTGTTCTTGCTGAAGATACCGTCCAGAAAGACCATGAAAGCTCTAGGACTAACCCAGTTCAGGGACTACAACACAACCAAGACCATCCACCTGAGCTACAAGTATTCTCCACCATATACATGCATATATTAATATTTTCACTGACTGTTATCCTACCTACCTGGTTTGGGTTCTGTCTAAGAATTCAAATACTGGTTTTGTATGCAAGTTGTTAAGCTAACAACAACCCTGAATGAATGATAACGCAAGGATGTTACGTAACCTATGAGGTCAACTGTGATTGAATATACTAACGGTTACCTTTAATTATAGTTGTTGCTGTATTAGAACCTGTTGTCTTTTTTATAATTAAACAGTGAGTTATCCATGTTCTTTTCTAGAAGAATGGTGTAATCTACCAACAGTTGTATGCAGGTTTCTAACTTTTATTATCCTTGAATGACTAACTCAGTAATACTCTCTGTCAGCACTCACGTGCAGGTTCATTCACCAGACTATGAGCCAAACCCAATATATATGAGATAATGATACTTCCTCAGCGCGCATACTTCGGTAGTTGGAATGGTCAATGAACGCATGACCGACTGATTGAAAATCGTGTGCGAAGACGACGAGTGAGTTACAGCTCAACTGGTTATACTTTCTAATAAGGCAGCAATGTTGAATTTTTCTAAAGTTTTCTTGTTGCTTGCCGTCATATCTTAATTAATTTTCTTCAGTTAAGCTACATAGTTATCCAACTTCTGTTTTGAACATGAAGCTAATTACTTTGTATATCACGACATATTCAGTTTATTTCTAAATAAACATAATTGGTATCACTTTTACGAATGTCTTATATCCTACTACGATTAGTTTTTCTTGTGAGAGATAAGTATGTCATAGTGCAATTTCTTTTAGATTATAAAATACTCGTAAATATGTAGATTAGTCTGTGTGTGTCATTGTAGATGTTTATTAGGTGTGTGGTCCTAAAGCAGACCAACTGATTGTAATTAAATGAATAGAAATAAAGTAATACCGGACTACTTTTCTCCCCCTACCAGCAGGAAAACCACGAACATATTGTACTTGTCTTTCTTTGCTTAAAAATATAATAGAAGAATATAAGGTGATCCGGATTATCTGGAATAAAATTACTTCTGTATGCGTAAGGTCAATTCTCATGGTATTGATTTCTAATACCTAAGCAATAGGACTAAACAGCTAGTGACTGACTGATAAAATCAATGTAGAACCTCACACTTGGGTGCATCGGGTCAAGTAACAACACTGCATAGTTGTGTACAAAGAACAGATGGATAAGAAAAAAGTGATGTGAAAGAAGATAAAGTAGTATGAGAGAATAAACAATCTTGAGATTAAAGTTAACATGAATATTTTAACTTTAGGAGATATCAGGGAATGAATACATCTGCTTTACTATGACCGATTTTCAGCTATATCAGCAAGCGTGATCAACCACTGATTTCCATCTCTCCGGTGGGCCAGTCAGGTAGTCTACATAGCCCAACACGGTTCATACCAACAGAGAGAGACTTCATCGACTGGTACCAGGTCTGGCTACCATAGGCCCTCTTCTAGCACAATCCATTTTCTCCCAGCATAGCATGTCGATGTAGGCGGTGACTCGGGATGGGCAGTACATGTTCAAGCAACCTCAGTCAACTAACGTTCATGACTTCATCATCAATCGACTTGCCTGTTTTACCTAGTACCCTTCGCCTGACCTAGACATTATTCACACAGTGATTAAACCAAACGTGAGAAATGCAACTAAGACATCCATGATCGAAACCCAGTAATCGCTTCGTGTCTTCTACTTTAACGGCCATTCACCACAGCCGTATAATAGAACAGGACAGTGTACTCATCCTTTGATAGATAGACAAATATCTTGCCAGTTAGCAAAAATAATGAAAGTTAGCAAATATCGAATGGGCCTTCTGTACCAACTAGCCCGTTTGGGCTGATACGACTCCTTAAGTAACCCTCCCTAACCCTAGGGGGTGGATCAGCATACACGGTACAAGTCCTAGTCATTTCAGTCTATGAAGGTTCATAACCTCATCAATTGACTTGCTTTTCTTGCCTAGTACCCTTCGTGTAACCTCAACACTATTCATACAGTGATTCCATCAAACGTGAGCAATACTACGAAGACATCTAGGTTGTGACTGTTTACCTACCTAAATCAAGGTTAATCGTTTGTTAATTTATAATAACTTCAAACACAGTATTTTATTGTCGTAACTGACTAGTTACGCTCAGAGTTTAGTAGTAGATTTTCTAACCATTTTCCTCGTTTACTTGCATTTCCATCTGACTGATTACTCAATAATGGGATGGATATCATATTTTTTGATTATGTTATATAATGGTTGTTTTGTAGAGTTTATGTTGTATCAACACAGTAATTCTCAATCATCACTAGTCATAAATTGCTAACATCGTTACTATAATGGGATGTAAACGATAAATTACATTACATGGTCATTTCTCAATCCATAAATTTTCAATGGTAAAGCCATTAGACTAGAGGAAGTCATTATTGTTTCAATTTCATAACATTCTTGTTTCTATAGTTATAATTTATGATCATATTTTACTATCCTAAACAAAAGCATTGACTTTTGAATATTTATCAATTATAAATTGCTATCAATGTCATGTTTGCTTCATGTTCCTTCATAGCGTCGCTTTTCATTACATATCATTTTTATCTTCCACTTTCTCCTTTTTATTTATTTTGATTCATTTTTTAGAATAAACTACGAAATAGTACGAAGATACGCAAAAAATTAGAGTCTCAATTAGAGGTAAGCAAAAAAAGACTTTCTCACTATTTACCCAGAAGCTTAGGTTTACTTTTGTTAGCATCTGTAATTTTTGCCTATTCCTAGACCTGTTTAGCATGAGAATGATTGTTAGTGTTTATTTGTTTTACCCTCATTACATTTGCACCGTTAATTAATGATTTTTAGTAGATGAAATTATGCAAATTGATTCCTTTTTATGTTCAATATCCGAGTCATTTATCGTTTATTTGATTATTCCTAAATTATTGCATTCCGTATATGAATATTAGTCAATCTTTGATATGCTACTTTTTCTTAGCTAACAAAATGTAAATTCATTTCTCAACTCTTTTTAGTGTATTGCCAGTATTTAGTTTTTCTAGTTTAGTGTCCATAATTTAATATAAGAGTACACATTAAATAGCCATTTATGGAAGTTAAAGATACTTAATACCCTCGATTTCTGGTCAGCTGTTTGATCAACATTCTCAATACAAAGCGTTCGCAAACCTGATGGTTTTGCTTATAACCAGACAATAGCTCTAAATTGCAATAAATTATTGGGTTAGGGGTTATCACTGTCATAAGTCTAGATCTATGGCTCATTGCTCCAGGCACTGGACTTCCTTCCAGTCGATCAACGGTTCGAAACCTGCATCACCTATTAGGTCAAACCAGCCAGGTTATATCACTGATTTTCAGTGAAGAAATACGGTTCATCGCCTTGGCACAAACGTACACGCATTTGGTGAGTGGATTTCGATTTTGACTATGCTAATGCCAAGTGATTCATAATGGAAAGTTCAGCGATGCCTTTGAAGTGAAGACAGGAGTAAGGCAAGGCTGCCGCCTACGATCATCCATGATCTTCCTGATGGTGGTCGACTGGATTATGCAGCCAACAGAAAGCAGTGAGAAGAGGAAAATACGCCAGCTGGACCGATGAAAAGACCTCAGAAGATTTGGATTTCACCGATGCTGATTTATGTCTAATGTCTTGTGGTACAAGTTCGAAGATCTACAGACGAAAACTAACAAGTTGACAAGAGACGCAGAGAAGACAGAGGTGATGAAGATACCGAAACAACAACAAGCACCAATTGCCTTCATCGGGAGAAATCTAAAGGAAGTTGTCTCTCACTTATCTACCTAGACAGCATCGCCTCAACTACAGGCGGTGGCACAAATGAGAATATCAAGGACATAATCGGAAAGACAGCAAGACAGGTTTTCATCAATCCGAAATAATCAGTGTGGAGATCTACTGCACTGCACTCAGCATAAAGCGTGAACAAGATCCGGATTTTCAGCACTAACGTCAGTCAAGTCAGTGCTTCTATGTGATGGTTGAGAGACTTGGTGTGTTACGAAAAGCATTCCCAACAAACTACAGACATACATCAGCAGCAGCTTCCGCCTACGTTCACTCGATACTGAAGATGGAGATCAGATGGCCAGAATAATAAGAATAAGCAACAAGGAACTCTGACTGGCTAGCAACGAACCAACGAGGCAAGAACCTATCACCCAACAAACATGCAGAAGGAAGTAGAGATGGATTGGATTGGGCATACACTGAGAAGACCATTTGGGGACATCACGCTTCAGGCCAGGTTGTCGAGTGGAACCCGCATGGGAAACGGCGAGTTGGGTGTCGGAGGCGAGGGTGACATGGAGGAGATGGTGTGAGGAAGAAATGAAAGCTTCTGGGAGTCATGGAGGCAGATTAAGAAGACTGTAGAGAAAGGAGTGAGATGGCGACGTGTTACTGAAGCCCTATGTTCCACTAGGAACCCAAGAAACAAATAATAATAATAATAATAATAATAATAATAATAATAATAATAATAGTAACATTAATGCGATCTCAGTGGTAAGTTTTAAATAATTTATATGAGTGCAGTCAGAAAAAAGAGACTGGCCCAATTGGACTAATCATTCTCTGTTTATCCTAGGTTTACTGTGACGCGTTCTGAAAGGAATTTTATCTTTGAAGTCTCTTTTTCTTCCTTCTCCTTCTTCCATAGTTGATGATATTTAGATGCTGACACTTATGAATAGTGTTTTATTTGGAATTCGTAAGCTATTCACTCAGAATTATGGATCATAGTTCGGAGTATTTATTCGCTAAATGACTATTTGTTTGCTATATTTACCAAAAAGCGTTTCTATTCAAAATGAATAATGCTATAATGAAGTGTCTATTCGACAGCATACTCAAAATAATATGAATCTGTGCATAAACTGGCAACCGTGAACTACGGTTTAGTTGTTACAGGAGTATAGCCTGATTTCGTTTCACAGCTAAAAAAGCCTTCAGCACTAAATTACTGCTAGAACAAAAATATAGAGAAACATATACAGAGACTAAGTGAATCATTATTAATTACTCGATTGATGATCAGTTCAGGGATTCTACTGAGAACCTTAATCTGTTGTGAAAACGGATGTATGTACATCACAAAAAATTGTTTGTATTACAACACTGTTTTGTTGTTGATTTCAGAACTTGTTAAATTCAAAGCAATGCCGGTGCCTCAGAATCAAACTGTACTACATCACTCGTGAATATTGTGGAGTTGTGGCTTATTTTCTTTAAGTACTTGACTTTCAACCAGCCGGTGGGTCACGGGTCCGAACCCCGCCCCACATATGTAGATATGAATAGCCATGTACTATCTATCGTTCATTCTCACACCAGAGTCGTGACTCATTGTATTAGCACTGACAGGCTCTTGATTTTTAAACGCATCTTAAGTGGCATAAGCTTCAAACAGTGATTAATTAGAATCAAAGTGTTGGGTTTCGTTTTTTCTAGAGTGTTGGTCAAACATAACGATTTTTGCAGTATTTACTTAGTAGTTATTACTGTACATTAAGTTGAGAGGAAGGAATGTACAGTGAGAGAAATCGCTAAGGTATCATGAGTTATAACATTCGAGGATAACTTGTACGCTGATTCTGTGTCCGAGGTCAGACCAACTTTGTTTTCGATTGAATGAAAATATGTGAAATGCTTTGTTTTCCTTTACCTTTTCTGTATCCTGATAAAACTAAAAATTGGGAGTGACAAAGTAGCACCAGATGTTTTATATATTATTATCGATTATTTGCCAGTGTTAGTAAGTGTTAATTGAGATTTTTGTGGGGCTGCGAGTCATTGAACTAGGCACTTGATTCCCAGTCCATGGGTTATGAATTCAACCCCAGCTTCACCTTCCCAGATTTAGACAGCTAGATATTATCATTAAACTTCAGAAAATAGGTATGGCACATTGGTTACTGCGCGAATATACACACGTTTACCAAGTGAATTCCTTTCGATTTCACCCAGAATTCGTCTACGTATATGAAGTCAGTGGGTAGAAAAATCTCCTATTGCTGCAAATAAGACATCTTTGTAAACAACTTACCTTTTTAATATAAAATGAAAGATGTTTGCTATACGTTCAGGATACTTGATTTGCTGATGCTAAAGAAATCGCGGTCTTATCTGTTTAGGACTTCCTTTTCGAAACAATTAGTCCATTTACGTAGTCTAATAAGAAGATGGAGGTTATCTGAGAAATGTGATGTATTCGCCGAATACATTTTGAAGAATCTGATCACACATTAACTTGTCAAGGTCTTTATATAAAGGATGAAAATAGGGTAGGATAAAACAAATAAATAAAGATAATACAAGATTTAGAAAATATGGGGATAGTAAGGAGGAATAATGCAATTGTCACATCTCCCTTGGTATTAAAATGAGGTGAGGATTACCAAGGTAGGTTTAAGGTAAGGACAAACTGTTTTTGAATACACAAAGAGAGTTGAAACTTTCGTATAGCTTAGTCTTCTGTGAACCTAAGTATACGGTTTTGATGGCTCCTAAACAATGGTTTGAGGTCTGTTTTGGGGTCAATCCTGTGACCTGTTACCATAGCGTGTATACCTATCGACGATGAAGTCTGTTTGCTCCCTGTATTTATCGGATTATTTAGATGGAATTACATTGAAGTATACAAACTCAAAAACAGTTTGTCCTTACCTTAAACCTACCTTGGTAATCCTCATCTCATTTTAATACCAAGGGAGATGTGACAATTGCATTATTCCTCCTTACTATCCCCATATTTTCTAAATCTTGTATTATCTTTATTTATTTGTTTTATCCTACCCTATTTTCATCCTTTATATAAAAGACCTTGACAAGTTAATGTGTGATCAGATTCTTCAAAATGTATTCGGCGAATACATCACATTTCTCAGATAACCTCCGTCTTCTTATTATACCGTGCAACTTTTTCTGGTGATTGGTCCACTTATTTCACGCTTATTGTCTGCTTCTGTTTGCTCCCCTCATGTTATTATTGTTGCCATTGTTATGCATTCGCAAACCTTCAAAGCTTATAATATCTAGGATGTTTAATATATTTTCTTTTCTCATTCTCATTATTATCAAACCCTTATTAAAGGAACAAGATTCCGTGCTAGGTCGTTTAAAATCTGAACTATTATCTTGTCAAGAAGACTTGAAAGTGGCAAAACAAGAAGTTACACGTTTATCCTATGAAAAAGAGTAAGTTGCTTTATTAACTGCAGCGCATGAGTTATTAGTCATATTTTGCTGAAAAGGCTAGAATTCTGCATCGTTCTCAGTAATCATCATTTTGGCTGATTGTATATTTAGTTGACTGAATAGAAGTCAACTTTCATCGGATGTCGAACTGGCAAAATTATGATAATTTCTTGCATAGACGTAGGAGTTTTAGTCTTTGCAATCACATGTGGTTCTTATAAACACTTATTCCCGAAATGAATATCTCCTCATTAGCTTATTAAGCAGCTGATGTGGGTTTGACTTACCTTAAAGTCGTTTTCGTCGCCATCGCCTGAAGAATCACTGAAAATAGTTTTCTTCCAGTTTGGGACTTAGGAATACTCACTGATGATCGAAGCGAGAATACTTGGGTCTTTCGGTATGTTACCGTTCAGTCATCGGGCTGCAATCTAATGACTCACAAATCCTTAGTTCTGTCACTTCGATTTACATCACAATCATCATTCATTGTCATCGATAAGTAACAATATTCACAGTCTCACAGCTCACAGTTTCAGAATCGGTCACTAATAAATGATTGGTTGTTTATCACCTTCCTATGAATCAGTTTACAGTGATATTCAGTCTGTTTGTGTAATCATAGGTTGTAAAAGTGAATGACAATGACTCTAAATGGATATGTTTTCCAGATTTATTATTCCTTGCCTGTTGTTTCCTTAAGTAATTTATACTGTCCTTTTTTATAGAGCTGCGCAGAAGTCAAAACAGGACCAGCTAGCCAGTATGGTTGCAGATATAACCACTTTAGAAACCACAGTTTCCCAACGTCGTGTAGAACTCAGCGCCCTTGATACTAACATACAGGACTCCGATCAGCAGCTTTCGATTCTTAAGACTCAGGTTAGTCGGTATCCGGTTGTTGATAAGAGGAGTAGAGTATCTGGTCATGTCTGTACACATTGTTGAATTCTGAAGCAGAGACAACCTACCAGTGTCATATATATTCATTATTTCTATATCGGTAAGATAAATTCTGCCTTGCTTTTTCAACAGCCTTTAGACCATTTCATATTACTTAAGAGAATGTCGACTAAAAGAAACAAATAGCTCTTATGCTGCCTTTGGATATTCACATCTTTAATAACTGTCCTGAGATACCCCCAGTTAGTGAAGTGCTTATATAAAGCGGGAGAAATCTAAAGGAAGTTGTCTCTCACTTATCTACCTAGACAGCATCGCCTCAACTACAGGCGGTGGCACAAATGAGAATATCAAGGACATAATCGGAAAGACAGCAAGACAGGTTTTCATCAATCCGAAATAATCAGTGTGGAGATCTACTGCACTGCACTCAGCATAAAGCGTGAACAAGATCCGGATTTTCAGCACTAACGTCAGTCAAGTCAGTGCTTCTATGTGATGGTTGAGAGACTTGGTGTGTTACGAAAAGCATTCCCAACAAACTACAGACATACATCAGCAGCAGCTTCCGCCTACGTTCACTCGATACTGAAGATGGAGATCAGATGGCCAGAATAATAAGAATAAGCAACAAGGAACTCTGACTGGCTAGCAACGAACCAACGAGGCAAGAACCTATCACCCAACAAACATGCAGAAGGAAGTAGAGATGGATTGGATTGGGCATACACTGAGAAGACCATTTGGGGACATCACGCTTCAGGCCAGGTTGTCGAGTGGAACCCGCATGGGAAACGGCGAGTTGGGTGTCGGAGGCGAGGGTGACATGGAGGAGATGGTGTGAGGAAGAAATGAAAGCTTCTGGGGAGTCATGGAGGCAGATTAAGAAGACTGTAGAGAAAGGAGTGAGATGGCGACGTGTTACTGAAGCCCTATGTTCCACTAGGAACCCAAGAAACAGATAATAATAATTTACAAAGCGTATAGTTGTCATTTTTACTCGGCTAAGTCATAGGTTTTCTTACATGAGGTGAATCTTCCGCCTATCGGATTTTTTTATGACTTTTTATAATACTCCTAAGATGCAGTAATGTTATATCTAGGTGTTTCATACAAGAAAAAAGGTCGGTTAGCTCTTTTCATCTTGTATTGCTTATACTGCGAGTGACAGACAGAGATATAAGTATGAAACCATTCACTGAAGTGAATCAGTTCATACTGTTACAATTCACCGCAGTATGCAAAAAAGAATGATTTATAAAAGTTGACAAGAGTGTATGGGAGGAGGGGAGATAAATAAATAGATAGTGAAAATGCTCAAATTTTCGGTGTTAAAGTGTGTTTACATATCGGCTGCTGAAACTGATTTTTAGCCGTGTAACTAGTAGTCTACAACCATTGATTTTTATTATCGGAAGTGAAACGCTCTCCTGTTGTCAAAGTGTGATTGGTTAGTGAGCTGCTGTACTAATTTATCACTGTAATACAACTCAGCATGACCTCAGGTTCATGTAATAGGTGATGAATCATAACTGTTATTTGCGAGCTTTTAGTGATCCCTGAATACTGAGACCTGCTTCGTGTTAGGTCTTTTGGGTTCGTTTCTATTACCTGCCGGTAAAAGTTTAGGTTCTAAACCTGTTTTCTTGATCTGAATGCTCTATTTTACTTAATACATATTTCAAAGTTAAACCTGTTAACAAAAGTGACTGTGACTTGTAGCTGAATGGAGTTCACTAATTGGAACAGCGTTTTACATCAGAAGTCTTCCTTCCCTTGGTGTTGTGAACTATGAAATGTTTTGGAGTTATCTTAGATCTCGATTGACCTTCCTGTCGACACTTATCAACCATGTATTAGTTCCGTACTTCATACGGTACTTCAGTAAAGGTTTATTTCAGTTGGTATTTGTTTTCCGTGGTTTTCGGATTTTATTAGACTCATATATATATATATATATATATATGTTTTAGACAGATGTTTGATTTTCAATTTCTGATTAATCTCCCTTTTTTGTATGACACCGTACTACATAACGTTGAATTCTCTTGTAAAGTTCATACTTTATAGCTTTCTGTTTTTAATTGTTGCTGTTGCTTATTAGGACTAAGAGACAAGATGTTTCTTCACTATGGTACATGTCTTTGTTGTTTATCCTATGAACTGTATTGTGACAAACACATAGATTGTTAAAGTTGTATGAAGTGAACCATGTTTAACATCCTCTGTTTTTCTGTTTTCTCATGCTACTGATTGCATTTTTATTTTCTTTTAAAATCTTTCACATCAGGCAAAAGAAGCTGTTTCAAAGTATGAAGAAGCTAAACGTGAATACGACACGCTTAAGTCTCAGTTAGACATGATACGTTCAGAGAAATCTCTGGCTGACGAAAATTTGGAACAGTTACGTACAAAGCTATCAAAAACAAACCTTCAAGTATGACCTATAATGTTCTCATGAATTTACAATTCCGTAACTTATAATTTATACAATCCCATTTCTAAGTGTGCCACATATTTCAATGTGTGATGGTGCATGTCTAACTGTATTGTTCATAATTCTTTTGCATGTTTTATAACTTCAACTAGTGTGTTTTGAAAGACCTTGGTTGTAAATACGACACTGCTCACTGTCACTTTTGACTTATCGATACCAAGCTTCATATTCATGAGGTGTGTTGATATACTATACCATCTATTAATTAACATGTTTAGTAGATCGTTTTCGTAAAACACCATACCAGGTGGTTGGAAAGATATTACGATAGTCCCTGTACCTGAGTCGGTAACTCTAGGCTCATGTTCGAAATTCCGTCCGATTGCAGTTACTTCTCCATTCTTGAAAATAATGGAGAAGTTAATAATAGCTGTGCTGGAGCCCTCATTAAAGGCTTTTGAAGATGGTAATCAATTTTCGTATGAAAGCAGGAGAAGTACTCTGGATGTCACCACCATCTTGACAGAAACGCTAAGTGTGTCAGGTGTGCCTTTTTAGACTTCCCTTCAGAATTTGATTTTGTCCCAAAACGTTTTCTGCTAGAGAATCTCGCCGCGACAAACTCTGAGTCCTGGATGATCACCTAACTGTATGCCAATTTTTCTTTGAAAGGAAACAATTTACCGTTCCTAAAGGGAAGCGCTTCATCTCACTGCTTACTTAGGCCGGTGTTCCTTAAGATCTTGTCTTTTACCCCAGTCTTTTCTCTGTCTTTCTGTATTGCTCACCATCTTTATGAATGTTATTAAATATGCTGATGGCCTGACAGTTACCATACTTGTCTTCTCTTCAACAGATTGTTCCCCGTTGAACGATTTTCTACCCACTGTTAGATGATGGTCCTCCGTGAATGGTCCTGTGCCTAATTCTTTAAAATTTCAGGCTATAAACTTTAGCTTCAGGTGCTAACATAAGCTATGTAAACTGCTAGTTCTTATGATTCCTGTTTTATTGGTGGTTGTGTATTAGAGAATGTTACAAGTGTGATTTATCTCGGTGTGTGCTTTTCTTAAGACCTTTCCCGATCCTTCCATCTCTTACTAATTTCCAAAAGAATCTTCCACCTTACTTATTATGTTAGGAAGATGAGTATCTGGTATAACTCAGCCTCTTCTCTTATGTTTTATAAACACTTGCATCGTCTCTTTTATCCTCTATTGTTCTCCTTAATTCTTTCCTGGGTTGCCGAAAAAAGAATACGTTTTATTGCATAGAACTTTGAAGATTGTCAGCAGAACTAGTGGTTTGCCCCTAAACCATCTAATTAAAGCTGTTGTGAACAAACATGTTAACTCATGCAAGCATTTGGCGATTATTTTATCAGATGAGTAGCATCGTCTTCATTCAAAGCTCTCTGCGTGTTGGGCGTCAGGCAGTACCGCATTTAGCTCGCATCCTGTGTGACGGAGAAAATGTCGACAGTGTGCTAACTAATCAACCTTTTTTAAGGCAAACTAATTAACGACTACCCAAGTTGGTGTTGTTTATGTATCGTAAATCTAATTGCTAATGCGATTGTCTGACTAAGTTAACTGCAGTTTTTAAAGAACTTTATTGATGGAATAAGTATCGTTATTGTTTTATATGTAGTTTGTACTTACTCCATTTCGTTAGGTACACATATACACTATTTCTGCACAACTGACGCTATGTAACATGCTGAAAATTCTGCACAGTACTCCCGAAATATCTTACAGGATAAAGTTATTATTATTACTAAATACTGGATTCGCATGTCTACCCCTCATCAATGCATCAATTATAATTGGTGTCGGAGATTTATGCAGATCTAGCTATCTTCTTAGGAACTTGGTCAAATTATTCAGTTATATTCTACACCACTTCATGCTTCAATATTCCTATTCTATGCAACTGATATCCTAATGTTGTTTCTTCTATAAAAATAGATTAATAAGTCAGTTGTTTATTTTAATAAATTGTGTTCTATTGCATATCCAGGTTGAACAATTGGAATCAAATAAATCTAGTCTCGAGAAACAGCTTACACAGTTAGAAGATGCCGTCAGTGCAAAAAAGTTGGAGTATAACCAGTTGCTACCGAAATTAAGTGAATTGGAAACCAAGTATGTATTACTATTATGATTTGAAAATACACATATCAAGGTTGAATGATTTTTAAAAACTCTATAGGGTAGATTTGTACCGATAAGTGAACAGTACCTGGTTTTAGCGCATCATTGATGTACTTGTTTTACACATAAAATAAGAAGATACAGTTATTGTTTTATTTATGGATAATTTTATCACGCCTCTTTTCGTTGAAAAGCATCCAAAGATTTAGAAGTGCTCATAGTATACTGATGGCTAAATATCTTTTTTTCAATTGAAAATTGAATGGAAATTATTCCATCAGCGTGTGTGCTCTATGAAACCCTTCTCTGCTGAAGTTGACTAGCCACATGTGTGCATTAATTTATCAAAATGTTTATCTGATTTTAAGTGAAACTTAATTTTAGGTTGGAATTCGTCATGCACTGACATCAACTGGAGGAGCACTGGACAGCTGTTCCGTCCTAGTGTGGAACTCCTCAGTAGTTCTCATCCACGATCCTGCCAGGGACTAAACGCAAAACCTTTAAGTCCCTGGCCCGGTACGTTACCATTGGGCCACCAGGTCGGAATCCAATAGTCCATATTTCCTACTTCTATCAGTTCACGATATAGCGTGACCTCCATCCAATGTCATTGTCGTTTGACTTGATTGACACTACTGGTCACGACTTATGATTGGGACTTGAGGAATCACCTCTCCCGAAGCTAGTCACTAATGGGTGCTAAACTATTTCTATCTGGAGGTTTGTGAGGATTTATTAATTGATTCCAGGTTGGAATTCATCATGAACTGACATCATGATGAATTCCAACCTAAAATCTGTTAGTAAATCTCCACAAACCTTCAGATGAAACTTAATTATATCCAAAAATATAATATTTTATTGTTAGTCAGTGTTCAAATGAAATCACCGTACAACTAATTTATTTACTTTTTTAAATTAAATTACAGATTGACTCGTACTCAGCATGATATTCAAATTGGTGCTGAGCGTATTCGTAGTGATCATCAATTAAGATTAGAAGATGAAAAGTTATCAGCTGTGCGTCAAGCCGAATTAACTCGACTAGCCCGACAGGTAAGCTAAACTTGAAACGCATTATATTTACTTAAAAACAGAGAAACTGTTAGGCTCTTATTATTAAAGCCTAGGTTTTATAAGCTGGTTATTTCATCTTATTTGATAAATATAAGTTTGGCGAATTTTCGTGGAATTATTTCTGTAGTAGAAGTGTTTATGAAATGAGGTTAATCCCGAAGTTCCAATGAGAATTCGTGACCAGTGGGGTTAACCAAGTCAAACACGAGGACAGGTACTCAATAACAGCTTTGGATGGAGATAGTGGTATATCATGAACTGACAGAAGTAGGAAATATGAACCATTGAACTCCGACCCAGTGGCTCAGTGGTAGCGTCATTGTCGCGGAACGTGAACGTCCTTAGTTCTACCTCTAAGAGAGCGGAGTTATGGGTTCGCATTGCTGAGGAATCCTATATTAGAAAGAGACAGCTGTTCCATGCACCCAGTTTTCCGGTGTTTCTCCAACTTTTGTCAGTCTGTGATGTGAACAGCAACCTAAAATTCATAAAAGAAATCCCTGCAAGACTCCAAAGTGCACTTTTGTTTTTCAATGCTACTTATATCATTAATATAAACCTTTTAGTAGTATGCTTAGAGAGCTCTTTATCTTCCTGTGTTCGTATACTTTCTCCAACAAACAAAACTTCGGAATTTTTCCTTTGTTATTCCAATTGATCATCACCTGATTTTATTTTTCCATACTCTCTTTCTCTTTTTTCTCACTCATTTTGCCAGCTTTCGTTTTGTCTCTTTTTTCATATTCCCAATCAATCGTGTTTATTTTCCTTTTTCCTTTGTTGCAATTACTTATATTCGCATATCCATTCTTTCTGATTACCCTGGTTGATTGAAAACTGGAGTGTTGTATTAAAAGCAGGATTGGTATATCAAGTTTTATCTCCAAATGAATAAACTCATTAGTATACAAATGAACGAAACAAAGAAATGTCATGGTGTTTATTGATTTCCCCTTCTTCTTCTTCTCGCTTTGAAATGAAATCGTAACTTGGAACATTGTCTTTCACTCTGTTATTCTGATCAGCCTACCGCGATTACTTTAAAGTGTTATCGTATTTGCATGTTTATACAGAACTGATTAACTTCAAAAGAATTCATCACAGACCGGCATAATCTAGAAAAGAAATCCAAACAGGAAAGCTGTACACATCCATTTTACTCGTAGTCTTAGACTCTTCAGTAATATGTACCTGGGACCGTATGTGAAATCTAACCTGAGGACTTGAAGGTTTATTGATGGTCATGTTACCCTTCATTTACTGGGTTGGCGTACAATGAATGGGTTGTTTGTACTTTTTAGATTCACATGATGTATTAAATTGTATGCATAATTTGTTCATTACCGGGAAACATTTACAAGGTAGCTTTAGACTATATAAGAGTTCCTTAAAAATGAAATGTTTATAGTCTTATTTTCTTGATATAAGTGTAATTCTACATCAGATTGGTTTATTTGATATATAGCGCACAGTGATACAGTATAATTTACTTGATGACGTTTTGAGCATAAATTATTACCGCTCATAATCATATCAATGTAATCACACCGCTCTCAACGACCGATTTTTATAGTCCTCCCAGTTCAGATTCTTTGTTTTTATTAACAGTAAAAATTTCCGTATCTCCTTTAAAAATGGTGCGTCGAAGCTACGCCTAAGATATGGTGGCGACACGTGGGTGATACATTTACTATGTTGAAATCGGAACATATCGACAGTCTCCTCACACATATAAACTCAGCAGTAGTTGGCACAATCCAATTCACTTACAATTATTTTTAGTGATGATGCATCTCGCATGAAACCATAATAATAATAATTATTATTAAACTGATCTTACAGAAGGTTGGTGTTGGCATACGGTTGATGGGTTCCAAAGTATGAAGCAACAACAATTCAATGCATTATATTTTTTTAGGCTTATCGAAAGTCACCAGGTTCCTAAGACCAGCAGCTGATTTTCTGTTCTCCTTCTTTTCGAGCTCTGTTTCTTGTCGAAGTTATTAGGCTACTCAAATTCTTTCTGTGACTGCAAGGGATGATTAGATACTACTGGTGACTTTTTAAATGGATGTGTATAGTCTGAATTTTTACTTGTAGGCTTTTATGTTTAGCGCTTAAATTGAAATTTGATCCAACGCGAGAAGCAGGTGGTCATTTCAGAATTCGAACAGGATGCTAAAAATAACATGACATATCTCGTAACCAGACAAAGGTTTTCCATAACCAGTTCGATCGAGTTATTTTTTCCCATCTTATTAACTTACCCCCCTTACTATTACTTTTCAATTTAATGTAAGCGGTTCCATTTTATATCACTCAAATAAAGTGCAAAACACTGTAGTTCTCTTCATCGGATATAATGTAGTTATGATTTTGCACTTAGAATTCAGTGAATTCATGCTTCAATATATCCATTCATTGTTATAAACTACGTTCATTAGGTCGAAAGAAAAGATAATATTCTAAGCGACATGAATGCAACACCTAGAAGGAACCACTTTTGTAATGGTTGAAACAACCTAAAGCTATCTCACATGAGGACCAATATCTTATGTATAATGTGATTGTTTCTAGCATCAATAAATGAATATAAAGATTAAACAATGATTTTGATATCAGTAATGAATGGTTAACTGGTAAGAGCTAACCGATTCTATTCCATGATAGAAGTAATCAGGATGTGTTAGTTACACTCTCACCAGTATTCAAGGCTTGCACTTTGTTGTCATAAGACCTCTGCTCCATAATCACCTTATGTTATCAACTTTAAACTTTGCAAACGGTATTAACTGCTTAGATTTACAATGTAGAATTCTAAGTGAATGTTATAATGTTTCACGTTCATATCCTAGGTCATTTCAGGCATTGTAACTTGTCTAACATATTCCTGTCATTCTGAATCCTCGATGTATTTTCCACTACTAATATATGTGAGTGCAAGACTGAAGTATGATAACTCCTTAAAGTCTTTCAACTATGCATAGCGCTATAACTGAAAGTAGATGTTAAATTTGTTGCTGTTTGTATTCCAGTTGACGTTTGTTTACGTGCTATTTAATTAAAAAATACCAAATGTGTAAATGTATTTGTGTGGCAACCAACACAAATACTCAACTAAGAGTCTTCAACTCAGACACTTTAGTGCAACGATCCAAATGTGACGACCACCTGTTCCAACTGTTTACTATAACCACTTTCAAAAAATGTCACCATTCAGCATAAGAGTTCAGGCTTAACAGCTGCCAATCTCGCATTGATGATGGAGGAAAACGAATTCTCACTGCATTACAACATCAAAATAGATTAGCAGAGGTCTATAACTCCCTATGGATCGCATATACTGGCTCCAGCTCTCCGATTTCGTGAGTAAATGCCTATGAAGATACGCAGATATTATATCTGTAGACTCCTAAGGTCATTCAGAAGTCATACTAAAGATGGATACTTCGTCAAAGTGTATTTAAGAAAAAACTAACCAGTGTGACTTCATACCCTTTCATATCCAAAATACATAATTCTGACAAGCTAGTGGTATTATGAGAACAGAAATGGTTTACACAAGTTTTATATGCGCTTTTGCGTAGTGACTGACCAATTTAAAATGGCCTTTTCACTTTGGTCTGCTGTGTAAGTCTAACAAGTTTTCAGTCAGTCAAATAAGGCTATCACTAAGGAAGACAAAGCAATGATTCATTTTCGAGGTTGATGAATGATTCTCGATTGAATACCCATCAGTATAACTCTTCAACTGATATTAAATTCCGGTAGTTTAGCATCATAAGCGTCATTTCGAATTCCTTCGGTGCTTCACTCTCCGTCCATAATGATGAATTAACTTGTGGTGAAAAATATTTGACGGGGTGTACAGTAGTTTTTCAGATGATATGCCCCTAAAATTTTTAAAGAATCTTGTTTTTTTTAAATGAAATGTTGAATCCTTATTTAGTCGATTAATGGAACACATTATCAGGTAGGTTAACCTTGACAACTGCATATTACATGTATATGCATCACATAAGTATCAGTGACACTGTTTATAATCTTGACACCGTTCGCAGCGCATATAAATAACTGTTGCTATTGATGTTTTATAGTACACTGTATTTTTATGCCAGTATATTTATAGTGATTATTGTAAAGGAAGATTATCATGACCACGCTTGTTACATATATACATGTATATAAATGTGCACCATCATTTCATAGATTATGGTTACACCAACGTTTTAACCAGTACCCTCGCCTCCCTCCCTCCTGGACTACATTTATATATATCTATCTTGAATACCCTTCATCCCACATTTATTGGAAGATACTTCATCTTTACCTACTTCTATGTTGTCAAAACACTTCATTCTGTCAACAATGCACTAGTGTGTTTTGAAGTCTTTTATATTGTAATAAATTTAAATTTAGAGGTCAGTAACCATTTGTAAGTCGACCTTCTGTTTTATCGATGTTTGTTTTCAAAGTTTCTTCACATCTGATTTCATGTGTAAGAATGATTTGATTGGTGCTATGAATGCATCTTGGAGAAAGCATTTCTTCATTGGTTCTCTCGGGGTCTGATAATGACACCGCTTTAAAGATTTGAGACCACTAGAATAATGTGAAATACCATCGCATGTGGTGTTAGAAACCAGTGGTTACAGATTCTTATTGATTTTTCAAATTTTATCATGTCATCACAGATGTATCTCCTTTATTTTTTTGACCTTTGTATTGTTCCACATACATAGTTTTCCGGTTGATTCTAACATTTTTCTCCTTTTTACTTATTTCATATCTTTGTATTGTGGAAGAGGGATTTCTCCATCTTTGAATCATGCATAATTTATGCTGGATGATGATTAAACGTGAAATGAAAAGTATAAATACTAGTCTGTGAAATTACGGCAATCTCAGATAGTTAAATGATTATTCATAACTGTTAGGTTTCTAACTAATCTAATCTTTTTTGGTTGTATTGTGTTCTC